GCGGCTCCCCGGGAGAACCAACCAGCATGCGACACTATACGAGCCGAGCCCACGTCATGGACCAGTCGGAGCGCACCTATGGGTTGCAGTCCAAGATCTTGTATTCGACAGGTGACACACTCCTGCAGAGAAACAGGGACGAAAAACACCAACACACACCACATACGAAAACAATACCATAACATAATACTAACAATACGGCCAGGGCCGTAACACCCCCCTTCCTAAAAATCTAAAATTTTCCCCTAAAATGTTTGACCCTTAAGAATAGGTAGAGACACGGGAGAGTGCATCCGCCAACACACGTTTCGGAGACCGAATGGCATAACGCTATAGTGAAGGACCTATTTTATTTTTTTTTTCAGATGCACGCGGAGTTAAAGGGACATCACGACCGAAATGGCTTCAGCATTAATGTGGCACCCACGGGACTTTCTCCTCCTATCAGGAGTACATTTCTTTTCAACAACATATGGACCACAGAACTTTGCCTGGAGGGCAGAACCAGAGATTGGGAGCAGTGTTAAAACTTTTTCACCAACTTTGAAATTTCTCTGGACGGATTTCTTGTTGAATTTCTTTTTCATTACTGGGACTAGTAGTGGCAGACAGGTATCTCTCTCTCAGCAACCGCAGAGGACCGTGAACGGTGTGACCAAACACCAGCTCTGCAGGACTGAAATCTGTGGATTCCTGCACATTTTCTCGTGCAGCTAGGAGAAGCAATGGTAAACCCTCATCCCATTCTTTTCCTGTTTCGAGAGAGAATTTACGCATCATGGATTTTAATGTCTGGTGGAAACGTTCGAGTGCGCCTTGTGACTAAGGGTAGTATGCACTGGACTTTTGATGTTTAATGGACAGCGAAGCTATGACCTGAGCGAAGAGTTTGGACATGAAACTGGAACCTTGGTCGGTCTGAATGGATTTTGGCAAGCCGAAAATGGAGAAAGAGTTTATGAAGGCTTTAACTATAGCTTTGGACTTGAGTGGAATTGCATCTGGGTAGCGTGTGGTGGCACACATCAGGGTCAAAATGTACTGGTGTCCTGTTTTTGTTTTGGGAAGCGGCCCAACACAATCCAGGATTATGTGTATGAATGGTTCTCCTATAACCGGAATTGGCTGCAGCGGAGCAAGGGGAAGTGTGGCATGAACTGCAGTATTTTGTCACTTTGGCTTTCAAACCTGGCCAAAAGAAATACTGCAGGATGCGATGGTAAGTCTTTTTCATTCCTAAATGGCCAGCAATGTTGTCATGGGTTAGATTCAATACCTGAGGGCAAAATTTTTGTGGGACTACCACTTGTTGAAATGAATTCCAACCTAAATCACCAGTTGAGGGAGGGTGCCAATTACACATTAATACACTGTCATTAATGCTGTACACACTGAGCGTCTCGGCACGTGAGTCGGCAGCAGATAGACACGTAGCCAAGAGTTGGGTCAGTCTGTTGTGCGCAGATGAACTCTCCCCTGTCAACATCAAAACACAAGTTAGCTTCAGCAGGTAACAAGTTATCAAGCACACTCTTTTCAGACTTTTCGGCACAGGGTTCTGCTTGTTCAGTACCATCTTCAGAACACATGAATGAATCAGATAAATCCACCACATCACCAGGTGACAGCAGCAGGAACAGAAACACACGAGTCGGCAACGCAATTTTCAATCACTTCGGGGGTCGGAAACACTCTTTTTCTTGCCAGATCATTTCCGAGAATCATGGCAACACCCCACACTGGCAAACCAACGCGCAGTCCATAACCCATAGGGCCTGAGATGAGCGGTGAACACAAGAAAACTGTGTGCAACGGTGAAATGAAAGGTCTGTAACGTTCATTTACCTCGTCTTTTTCTGGTTCAGTACTGACAGGAGACGGAGTGGGAACAGACTGAACAAGTCCAACACTTTTTGGTCTTGTTACACTTTGATTATATTCTTTACGCTGGAGCGCAGGACAGCTGGCTATCAGGTGTCCTGCCTCGTGGCAGTTAAACATTCACGTTCAGAAGACGTAGGATTAGGTCTTTGTGGATTTTTTTGCAAAAACAAACAAACTAAAACAAACTCATCGGCGAGCACAGCAGCTTTGGACACAGAATCCGATTTTTGTTCATTTAAGTAAACAACAATTTTCTCTGGAAAACATGTTTTAAACTCTTCTAACAAAAATAGTTTGTGAAGTTGAGCAAAATTAGTCACTTTACCCGCAGTGCACCACTTATCAAGGAGAACAGTTTTCTCCCTGGCAAACTCCACATATGTTTGGTTGGGCAATTTTTCACATGTCCGAAATTTTTGGCGATATGCCTCAGGAACTAATTCATAAGGACGTAACACAGTAGCTTTTACCATCTCATAATCTAGACTTTCATCAATAGATAAGCCTGCACACACCTGCTGGCCCACTAGTTTGCATTGCAACAGCAAACTCCACACATCTTTGGGCCATCTCAACGTCGCAGCGATGCGCTCAAAAGCATTGAAATATGAATCTATTTCACCTTTCCTAAATTGTGGTACTAAGGCTGTATGCCTGCTTATATCAAATTGCTCAGAGGAAGCGGTGGGAAGACGCATACTTACAGGAGTCGAAGTAGTCGGATGTGGACGATCTAGCTCCAGAGCCCTTATGTGGAGGTGCATAATCTCTACCTCTTTGGACTTGGAGTTCCACCTCTTTTATGCGGAGGGCCAACTTTAGATCCTCCGTATCTACTTCAGCCTGTAGCAGAGCTGACAACAGGAGCCTCCACCCCCGCACTCACCTGGCCGCCAAAGGCTTGTGTGGCTGTGGCAGCCTCCGCTACCACTTCCTTGTCTAAAACCTCCGGGGTATGAACCATCTGTGGCTTTGTCTGCATAACTATGCCACTCTCCACCAGCCTTGCGTGCGTTCAAAGGAACAGAGATGTCAAATAATTTTGCACTTAATCCTAATTGTGCATCTATCTAATTTTTCTA